GAAGGGTTTTTGAACCCAAAAGCTTGCTTAATAACTATTCTCCAACCATTTGGGTTGGCCTAATAAAAGATATCAGATTCACCCAAGGAACCTTGTCTGCCTATGTACTTAGACCAACATGGCTACAACCTACACCCCTTCACCCAACCAGGACACTCCTCCAGAGATAGATCACACATTTGAAAGAGCCACCTGGATACCACGTGAAGAACTGCTGCAGTACAGAAGAAAAAAACCCCACAAATCACCTTCAAACAAGCACCGAACCTCGCCAACCTCATCACCAGAAGCAAACTTCCTCAGAGCCAGAACACACCAAAAGGATCCAGACCGTGCCATCACAAGAAATGCAAAACCTGCCAACACATCTTCACCACCCTCACTATTACTACACCCCACAACAGAGCCATCAGCATTCCCAGATCTTACAGCTGCACCTCCAGAAATGTAATATATCTCACCCAATGCACCAAATGCTCTGATGGAAAATATGTAGGAGAGACCAAGCAACTGCGCACCAGAATGAACGCACACCAGAAATCTATCAAAGACAGGAATACCCAATTACCTGTGGGGGCACATTTCTCACAAGAAAACCACTCTCTCTCCAATCTCTCAGTCCTGATCCTCAAAGGAAACTTACACAACACTTCCCAGAGACGAGCCTATGAACTCCACTACATCAACCTCCTGGATACTAAAAATCATGGACTAAATATAGACATTGGATTTATGACACATTATAACCTGCCTGACATCCGACTCCCCAGGTACTTCTCCGCTATTCATCCCCCTTCTCTCCCCACAACCCAGCCTGTCTCTCACCCATTGACGCCTCAATCTACATCTTCACTGACTGCCCATCTGGTATGCATACCAGCCCAGTCTCTGGCTTCTTTACTTTTCATTCCATCCAGGAAGAGCACACACCAACTGCTGAAACTTCCTCAGCCTGATGAAGGGTTTTTGAACCCAAAAGCTTGCTTAAAAATTGTTTTCCAACTATTTAAGTTGGTCTAATAAAAGATATCAGATTCACTCAAAGAACCTTGTCTGCGTATGTCCTTGGACCAACACGGCTACAACCTACACCTTTGATCAAAGGGTATGCACTTTCAGCACTCCTAACTTACTTCTCTCTCTAAGTGACTTGTTTTTGCAGCCTTCTCTAGCAGTTCTTCCTGTATGATTTGAAACTGACTGGCTCTCTGGGACATGCTGGTCTTTAAAGAAGAATTCTGTTCTTTTGCATTTGTCAGCTTAGCATGTAGTTCTTCTATCTCTCTAGTATATCTTCGCTTCTCCTTTTCAAATTGTTTGCTGATGAGCTCCAGCTGTTGGCATCTTTGCACCTCTTTTTTTAAGAAAAGAAAAATGTTTAATTAATAAACAAAATTAAAATGAAAGAGAAAATCAAGACACTCCTGATCAAGAAGAAAAAGATCAGTATGTCAACAAGTTGCCAGACTACCTTAAATAAGACCCCGGCTCAAAACTAACCTCAAAAATTGGATATGGACATAAGAATTAAAGGAAAACTTAAGACCTGAGCATAGCAGGCAAGGCAGAAACAACGTTTTCCATTTTAACATTCTGTGGCTGGTCCTGGTCCAGCCAGAAGCAGCTCACTAGAAAAAGAAGATTAAAAAAAAATGCATATCAAGGTCTGGGACAATGATAACTTCCAAAATAGCTAGTGGTTAAATGATCCTTGCTGTTCTTAAAACATCTGTTATGTAATTGTTAAAAACATATTATTTAAATAGGTTAACAGAAAATTAAAGCCCACAAAAATGTTATTGCAGATTCTGTGCTTACACTTAAATGTGCATATGTCAGAAGGAATTTTATAGATTTGAAGTATACAGTTTCAGCTTGCTCACCTGATCTATTTCCAGTCAGTTTTACAGGTTCTGTCTCTAGGCCATGTAATCTGCCATTTTCTTTTTCCTGATCATCAGAAAGATGCTGAACTACTTTGCTGACAGTTAGATTTGCCTGGAGCTTTTGAATTTCTGCTTCTTTCATTGCCAATTTAATTCTATTATAAAAAATAAGGAAATAAGTTGTAAGAAAATACTCTTTTCTCTCTTCCTAATTACCACTCTAAAGTGTAGCCGTAATTCAGGAGCCTAAGTATTGTACCTGAGGTCTGCAATCTGGGATTTATTTGATTCACAACAAGAGGCGTTGTTAGCTTCTTTTGTGGAGGAACTGAGCAGCTGACATTTTGAGTGATGCAATTTAAACTGCAAATTTAGGGAGGGAAAAAAGAAAGGAACTAATGCAAAAACAGACTTTTTATTTCTTTGCAATACAATAAAGTCCCTATTTTGTACAAGCTTAACATTCTGTATGGCACATAAGCCAGTATGTACAAACTTGGTTTGGAACCTAAAATTACATCTCCAACACAGCCATTTTGACAATTCCAAAGTTGCACAGAAAGTATGTTATTTGATTTTTACAGTGCATCCCTTTCCCATTTATGCCAAATGGACTGACCAGTATCCACCTCTAACACACTTCTTTTTGGCCTTGCTGCATATCTACCTCCCTAACTCTGTTCCTCATAAGCCCCCAAACAGATACTCACCTTAGGTATCTGGTGACTACCTCCCATCCAGAGATAAAATATGCCAGTGAAAGTTCTAGTTTGATGCATCAGGACTTCATTCTGATGACTTACATTACACTTGCCAGTCAAAGAAAGCTCATTCTCTGTGGCAGAGTTACAAGCTCTACTGACAAGGGAACTTTGCCCAAATATCTCACTTCTTTGGTCTACCCTGTCTTCCTCTTAAGGCTGGAACAGATAGACACAATGGGCATGTATACACGTAATTTTTGTGCTGCGATGCACCAGAGATCCAATATGTCTGAGCAGACTCAATTAATCACAGACTTCGATGTGTTTTAGTTCAAAAGCGTGCCACCACCATTTTCTCAGCACCGACGCGTATTTTGCCATTTATACAAATGCACGCAACTCACATTTAAAAATGCCCTGTAGCTCAGGCACTGTCTAATAGACACTTTTCTAGCTCTGGGGATTTGGTAGGTCTAGCTAAGCAAAATGTTCATATAAAATATTCAATTAGGATTAAGATGAACAATACACATGTGGAATGATATACAAGTTGCCATACCTCTTCAGATGCACTCAATGACAACTGGGAAATAATACTTTCCAAAGTGCCCAGCTCTTCTCTTGAATCTTCAATTTCTTGGTGACATAACTTCAGGCGATCGTTCTGGTGTGCAATAAGTGCTTTTAGCTCTGCATTTTCACTTATTAGGGATTTTTTCTCTTTTAGTATTACTTCCTTGTCAGTAAGTTCACTCTCAAGCTTAAGGATCTTCTGTTTAGACTGTGTCAGCAATGACACAATTTCAGTGTTTTTTTCTTCTAGGCACTTAATTTCTTCTCTTGTGCTGCGATTCTCTTCTTTTATTTGTCTAGTGGAATAAAAGTGTATATAATGGTGTGGAATAAATAGTGTATATAATGCAAAAACACATTTCAACAAAAACTCTAGGTGAGTGAAAAAAATTTGCTATGACTTAAGCTACTAAAGGTTCTGATGGAAAGGCACCCCTTACAAAAACAGCTTAACTATTTTCCTTCACCGGTATGTCTAAAAAGGACTAACTACTCTTAGAAAACAGAAAATTTGTCACTTGCTTGTAATCTTCTCTCAGAACAACGAAGAACAGAAATAAGAATGAGTTTCCTTTCCATACTAAAAAGGTACCACTAGAAAGCTGAACCATGGCGGTGGCAACCAATATGGCTCGAACAACTTTGAAGATGCACAAATTCAGGACAAAAATGTGCATATGCTCATGCACACACCCCCACACGCACACACCCTTTTCTTTACCTTAATTGTTCTTCTGTGCTTTCAAGTTCATTTCTATAAGCAACACATTTTTCATGCAATTTTTCTCTCTCTTTTTCACAATTAATTAAATTTCTCTCTAAAACTTCTTCTTCAGCCTGAACCTAAAAAGATCATTTTCATTATTATCCAATGAATATTTAAACTATTTAAATATTTAACATATTCCTGTTTCTATTTTAAATCCTAGCGGTGTGGCCAAAAATTAAAGATAATCAAAATCTTACAATTTCTAGTTTTTCAGTTATTTTCTCTCTGTATTTTTTAAAAGCTTTAGTCAGTTCTTCAGCATTAAACAAAGCTTCATTTCTTTGCTGTTCTGCTCTACACAAAAGGAAACAACATATTTTTTTTAAACAGGGCAGATTCAGCACTGCCCTAGCAATCTCCTCAAATTACCCAAAAGCAAAATATAAAGAGTAAATAACTAGCATTAAATGACTAGCCTTCCTTTCAACTTTCTGGTCATTTTAGATATACTTTCTAAATAAATATCAGCTTAATGTCTTATATGAATGAATGAGTCATCTATTAAGCATCTGGTTTACTTGTAATAATATTGAATTATAATCATCTGGATGCATCTTGATACAAGGCCAAGAATGTAGAAGTTGTCTGCGGAACCCTCTTAAAATTACCCAGTGATTCAAGCCTATCCTTCATCTGGGCAGCATCCCTTAGATTAGGCGTGTCAAATTCACAGGCCCTGTGGGCTGGATGAGCTGTATGGGGCCAGACCACGGGCTGGATTGGGCTTGCAAACTGGCCCTATGCACTGCCAGCAGTGCACACCAGATGGTCCCTGCTCCCCATTCAGCACACAGGAATGGACCAGCACATACCATATCAGCACACAGGTCCAATTCAAGATCCATGGACAGCATTGGGGGGGCCATCTGATAGGGCTCCTCTGATTATACATTCAAATATACCTTATAATAACACAATTAAAATAAACAGACCGACCTAATTATTACTTCACTTATTTTTAAAAAGAAAAAGAACTATTTGAGTATTAAGGCAGAATGATTAATTGCACAAACCTCTGGAATTTCAAAAGCTCTTGTACCCAATAACTTGGCCTCTGCCACATTACACTTAACAAGCATTGTTTTCTTTTTGCAATGTAAGACCTCAGCCCTGCAAAGATTTACTCATGCAAAGAGCTATATTTTAGGAATAGCTGCCACTGATTTCTCCACTGTGTAAAGGTAAAGCAGATAACTTATGCAAAATCAAGCCACAGCTCTTAAATATGTGTTTTGAAATAATTACCATATGGATTCATTAAAAAATATGGGGGGGAGAATGGGACACTTTGACTTTCAATATATTTAGTTTCAACCTTAGCAATTTCTTTTTAATTAAAAAAGGACAAAAAATAGATACCAGTCAGTTTGTTTAGCTAAACTGCCTCAATTAAGTCATGAAATGGAGAATGAAAAAAGAAAACAGGCCAACTTCTATATATTTTTGTACGTTACCTTTAAATCAGGGGTTGCCAACTGGGGGTACACATACCCCTGGGAGTACTTGGGAATGCCATTTTTTGTTCTTTTTTAATTAAAAAAAAAAGTGCTAAGGTTGAAACTAAATATATTGAGAGTCAAAGTCTCTCTTTCCCCCCCTCACCCCTCCATGTAGCTCTTTGCATGAGTAAATCTTTGCAGGGCTGAGGTCTTACATTGCAAAAAGAAAACAATGCTTGTTAAGTGTAACGTGGAAGAGGTCACTGTGTGCAACTGAGTCCTGGTCAGTGTCCAGCCGCCGGGGGGATCCCTCCCCCAGCTTGGTGATGGGCCTGTCAGGGGACCCCCACTGCTCAGCAATGGGCCATTGGGGAACCCCCCCCTGCACATCCAGACAGGGTTACTCACCAGGATGGGGTACACTCCTCAAAAAAGGTTGAAAACCCTTGCTTTAAAAAAAACAAGATCTTCCCATTTCATTTAAAAATGTCATCTTCTCAAACATCCATAGAGCATAGAAATAAGCCAACGCCATAAAATGACCATCTAGTATTAGAGGATAGGCATTTGCTCATTAGAATGCTATTTTTTACTCAGAATTTGTTGTTTGTAATTGCATAGTCACCTCTTTCTTTGCTTGCTCTGTTCAACTGAATCCATTTTCAACTTTTTACATTCCTCTTTAAACCTCTGCAATATATGCTCTTTTTCCACCACCATCCTCTGGCTGTGTTCTAATTTATTTTCTGCATCTCTAAAAAAAAAAAAAAAAAAAAAGTTGTGTATGATTAAAAAGCACCTGTCTAAAATATTTTTATATTTATTTAAATAATATAAAATGTTATTTAAAATCATTTAATATATGACACTTGATTAGAAAACTGTTGTGTGTGCATACAGGACTCTGGATGCCACAAAAAATACAAACAACTAAGGAAATTACCTTGTACAAATTTCATTCAGAATTTATCAGACTGCAATCAGATACTATCATTATAACTAGAATGCAGATAGTGGTCAGTAGAATATTTGTTTTAGCCTCACCAATGCAGGGACAAAGAATTAGGTGTTCTTATGATGTCCCTGCCATATTGAGAGGAGACTTCAGGGTTGTATCATATATTTTTACACTGCTTTATATATCAGTGGGGTTGTTTTAATGTACTGTTTTATTTTAAGCCTATATCCATCTTTTTCCCTTCTAAAAGAACCATAAAAATCATAGTGGTGTCAATCAGCATGGGGTCAGCCAATGATTGGGCACCTTGCAGTCTTGACTTTTATACCTGTAATATTGTTCTACACGCAATAAAGACATCAGTTCAGGGAAAAAGTTGTTTTTCCTAAAACTGAATCTGAAAATGTGGGGTCATCTTATATTTAGAATCACTTTATAATCAAAACAATACAATAAATAAGAGTTTAATAGTTCTGCTACCACTCTACTTAAAACAGATCTGTTTCATGTAGATCACAAGATAAAAATGTGTTATTACAGGGAAAGAAGAGGAGCACTTTTTCTATGTTTAGCAGGGGAAAGCATTTTTTCCAAAATATTCTAATTTGCAGATGTCTTTCCACAAGGGCCCAATCTAATACCACTTACACCAGGGGTGTCCAACCTTTTTGAATGTGGGGCCGGATCATGAACTTTTTAATCATCCAGTGGGCTGGGGAGCCATATTCAAAGACCTCACAGGAAGTGGTATCACATCAGGAAGAGATGTCACGTGACCTTTGACACCAATGAAGTTGCAGAAAGTGACAATGAAATGGGTCTGGAAATGTGGTTTAAAATCCATATTTTGTCTACCCCGATCTAGGTTAGGCATAGCTATGCCTATGTTCTACTAGGGGTACGTCTCATGCTTCTGGGCTTTGCTGGTTGCCCCCACCACCACCCTTCCCCTTTCTGCTATATGTGCCAGGATGTTTCTAAGTCTTCCTCAGAGGTACTGGGTGTTGGCTACAGCTGAGGCTAGGGACTTTGACTGGGATGTGCCCAAATTAGTGAAACTTGCTTCACTGGAGTACATGCAAACAGGATCTCCATATGTCAATGATGAGCCTGAATATTTTCATTTCCTTTTGCTCACAGGAGGGGAAATCCTGAGTATTTTTGTATTGTTAATCTATTGTAAGTGTTTATTCTGGTATTGGGCCCAGGCATGGCTTGAGAGCATGGGAAAGTAGTGTTATTTGGGGAGTTAAAAGGATGGAGTTGCTCCCCACCCCGCACAGGTGCCGGGAGCCCACAGTCACTGGCCTGGCCCCGGGGTAGGTGCAGTCTTCCCGCCCCGACTCCAGCCCCGGCCCGGCCCAGCCCTACCTGCGGCGCCCCAGCCAGGCAGGAGGTGGCAGAGGCAGAGAACGAGGGCGAGCCCAGCTGCTGCACCGCCTCCGCGGGTCCGCATCGCTGCGCTGCGCCGGGCTGGAGGGAGCCAGAGCCGGGGCCGGGCAGCACCTTGGGGCGCAGCAAGTGCAGGCTCTGCCCGAGCCTGGGGCCGCCCCGCGTGGGGCGCAGCCAATGCCAACAGCCTGGCCGCAGAAAATGCCTTGGTGGGCCGCATGGCGGCCCGCAGGCCACACGTTGGACAAGCCTGACTTACACAATGTAACTTAGTGATAATTCTGCTTTGATAAGAGATCAGGCATTGACAGAATGTATATGAGGAATGCAAATGAATGAATGTATGATATCAATATAATTGGCTCTCAACCTTACTGGTTAACAACTACTGAAAATAAATACATTTTGCTTCTGTGAACTTAATTTGGACAGCATAACAAATTTGTTCAATGTAAAATGGTTCTACATCAGCGGTCTTCAATCTTTTTTAGACTCAAGGCACCCTGCAGAAAATGACAGCCCTTTCACTCTTTTTTTTTTTTCCCCCTAGTTAAGAAACGAGTAATTTTTTGTTGCAAGTAAACTTCAAAAGAACACGTGTCAGAATGTTTTTGACACTGTGGATTCCAATATGAAATTCCTGGGTTTATCTTGCAAATCACACGTAGGTGTTTGCACATCTAACAGTTCTAATATTGCACAGCACCCTTAAAAGCATCTTGCAGCACCCTGACAATCACTAGCCTAAGTGGTTATAGACCTGCTATATCTACATAACCTCAGTCATAGGTGCACATTTGTGTTTACCCCAGGTAACAAACTATGTACTCATTTTATCACAATCCTTAATAATCACCACTTACTCTCAGAATACAGATCATACATTAAAGACTAATTATAACATTCCAAAAGAACATACACATAGGACAAACATAACATATGAAGTGCTTCAAAGGGCGAGTGGACAGATATACAAATAACCCTGTAGGAAACAACTACTAATTAGAAGTACTTCAAGTTGAAGTGTTGCCTGTTACATGAGCATACACTCAGTACTGAGTATGACAGGGAAATATTTTGTCCTTTAGCACCCCACAGTGCTCTGCTTCCTACCCCCCACAAGGAAGGGCCAGTATGTTAACAAAAACTTTCCTGTGCATTCCACCTCTACTCTACCAGAGCACTCCCCTACCCCACCCTCAAACCAGGAGAGTGGAGACCCTCTGCACCCCCACCAGAACTAGGCGATCAGAGATCCTGCACCTTTCTAGGAGCCAGTTGGGAGCTGGCTCTGCTGCTTGGCCAAAAAGGAGGAAGGGGAAGAGTGGAGCTGTAGGTTGCAGGAGACTGGGGTGCAGAGAACTCACTAATAGGGGAGTGGAGCCTGGTTCCTGTCACAACCAGGAAGTCTGCAGGGTTTCCAGCCTCCCACTTCCAGTGATGTGGGTGGAATTGTTCTGGGAGAATACAGGCAGAGTACACAGGAATATGCTCATTGCAAGTCCACTCCAGGGGAGTGAAGTGGAGCTGCAATCTCCTGTTGTGCCTTCTGACTAGAGAGCATGCTGCTGCATGCAGCAATTTTGAAGCACTCCAACCAGCAGGTCTGGCAGGGGGTTGTGCATCTGTCCATGGCCAAAGTGTTCCATTATTTAAGCACTTTAAAGTGCAGCTGCATTTTGAAGAGTTTCAAATGTTATGTCGTATCTACCATACATACAGCTATTCCTCAAGGAGAAATGTCAAGATCTAGAAAAATCAGCTCTCATGAAGAGCATCACATTAAAAATAATTAGCATGCAGTGTTCACCTACAAAAACCTATGAATTAAAGAAACAGACCAAAAGAAAATACTGATCAAAGGCAACGTTTGTTTGCTACCTCAGAACTTTATCTTGAGCTGTAACTTCTGCTTCCAAATTTACAATCTGTTCTTCTAACAAAGGAATATTGACAGAATGAGTACCTAAAGCTGATTCAAGAAGAGAGATCTGAAATACAAACATATTTGAGGCTCTGTTACAATTTACAGATGTATCCTAAAGGATTGTTAAACAAACATCCGTGGTTGAACCCTGTGAAGAAGACTGTCATGCCTACATCGTATTCACTCTGACTTCAAGACTTCCCCTTCTTCTCACTACCTTGCCAGATCCTCAGGTTCCCTCCTGTGTATGCTACATAATGAAGTGATTTGTTAACATCTGCTGTTGACCTTGGACTTCCATTTTTCTCTTCAAGTACTTCTTCAAGTATTTTTTCTTTATTAACATGTTAATTAAATTGGCATTTATCCATGGTCTGCAATACCCCTTCTCCCAATTCATAACTACTTCTTAATACATTATCAGACAGTGATTTTCAGTTGGAAGTAAGATCTCCTTCAGCTCTATACAGATCTCTAACATTCAACTGGCACACGTCCCACTTTACAGATACAGAAGAATTTAATTTAGTTCAGGCAGACATACTATAGCTTGTGTATAATTCTTAAAATATTACCAAACTGTTTCTCGAGCACTATAATTCATATTAGATAAGTATCTTTATTTAAAAAAAAAAAGATCTTAAGCTGTAAGCTCTTGTGAGTATGGGATGACTTTTTGTTCCTTTACTTCTACAACACCTAGCACAATGGGCTCCTAGTTCAAGACCAGGGCTCCCAGATGTTCCGGTAATACCAATAAATCATAAGAAGATTAAACCAACGGGACAAAAGCATGGTCTATTTAAAATTACAACAGAGCTTTACAAAAAGATATTTCTATCGATATAGCTGACATTCAGGCAGTTAAGATACTTACTCTTGTTTTTGACTGAGCTAGTTCCAAGTTGATAGTTTCAATTTTATTCATTAGGCAGTAGTTCTGAGAAACAAGAGATGAATTTTGCTCATGAAGTATACTCAGCTTCTCTTTAAGATGTTCGTTTTCCTTTTTCTTTTCCATGCTTTTATTAAAAGCAGCAGACACGGAGTGAGACTAGAAGTTAAAAAAACGTTTTTATACACACACACACAAATGCTTTTTTGCAGGACAATCTTAGTTAAGTCATAAAAATCATAATTTCTATCAGTGATATGTCATTAGGATTGACCTGTGCAGTGTTTAGTATACATCTTTTCAAAAGCTTAAAAGCATAAAAAAATGAAACATTTATACAAGTACATGTATGTGAAGCAGATACAGGGTCAAAATTAATAATACTGAGAAATATTACTTACTTTGGTTTTGGATTTCCTTTGAGGAGTCCTGTCCTGGTGGGACACTTTACAAGCACTCTTCCGACCTGAATAATTTTGATATTCACTGCAATCAGGTTGAATAAGATCTTCCAGTGACAGTCCCACAATTTCAGTGAAATGGGAAATGCAGTGAGAACCTTCACTTGAACTAATAAAAGAACACAGTTAAACACAACAGTAAAGTAAAGTACTTTCCCAGGTCTCAGTAGGGTTATTTTAAACACAGAATTCAGCAGAAGCAAAACATAAATAAAGCCAGTTAGTTATGATTATAGTGTATGGCACAGATTTAAAACTACTGGACATGCGTAAGGCCTACTACTTCTGCTTCTGCCTTTACATAGGGCTGGAGTGTTGATGTAATTGTGATGGCACTGGAAAAATGTAAGCAGCAACGGGTTTTTGTGATATCTTTTATAGAATCAACTGTAGAGTTGGGAGAGATGTTAGAAAAAAAGGTTGGGAGAGATGTTAGAAAAGCTTTCGGCCACATAGTGCTCTTCCTCAGGTCTGGGAAAGAAGCAGATAGAGATTCAGCTAGATGGTTTAAGCAAACTAAACCTCTGCCCTTACATGCAGACATACCTGGAAAGCTCTTCCCCTAGATTTTGCAGACTTCTCTCGGTTTCCTTTAGCTGACTCCTTAGTGCCACAACATTTGCAAGCAAGAATTCTTCTTCATCCTCATTTTTATGGCCAGTCCAAAAATTAGATTCCATCTCTACTGTCTGTCTAAAATTATAGTTCATAATATTAACATTGATTTTATTATTGTACATTGTAGAAAATAGTAAATTTTAAGGACATTAAAAAGGCCTTGTTTAGATTTGTTTTTCTTATGAAAATACATACTTACTTATAATTTCAGGGCTGTATGTAAAGAAATAAGAACTATAGCCAACTAAAAATTATTTTTATATTTGTTCTTTTTTCAAGCTAGGAAGTTTAATTAATTTTCATGCTAATTTTCCTGTGGACAAATGGCTGAAAAACTGACTTCCATTTAATTTATTTTGTGATCTATAAAACATATTGATAAGCATTTTGTACATTTACTGTATTAAATAAATGAAACGATGCTAGAGATGCACCGATACAATGGTCCAATATCAGATCAGCACCAATATAAAAAAAATTGGTTGTGTCGGAAATCAGCCTGATGTGGCCGATAATTTGGCTGATAAATGCCCATGCACAGCATTTAGGCAGGGAGGAGCACAGCCCAGCAGCTTGGAGAGGAGCACAGCCTGGCAATGAGGAGGCAGTGAGGAGCACAGCTCGGCTGAGGCTGAGGCCGGGGCTTGTCTGGGGGCGTGGCAGGGGAGGGGGGCTCCTGCCACTGTGCACCGCTGGTCCAGCACTCATCCAGCAGCTCCCACCGCTAGTCCAAGAGGGCACGGGAGCGGGGGAGGCCTGTGCCCACGGATCTGTGCAAGGCAGGCCAGGAAGAGCCCCGTGCAGATTTGGGGGCACATGCCCTCCCGGACAAGTGGCGGGAACAGCAGCAGGAGCCACCATACCACCGGCTCTTAGATCAGCAGTGCGCAGCAGTGGAAGCAGCCTCCCCTCCTCCCCACACCCCCCGGACAAGCCGCAGCTCAGTTCTGCACCCGCTCTGCCCCAGCTGGGCAGCACTTGCCCCAGCCCCACTCCTCCCTCACTGCAGTGACTTTGATCTGCCCCCCCATACCCCTTCCCCCACAGCAGAGTTACTAACTCCACGCAGCTCTCCAAGCTGCCAGGCTGGTATCAGAAATCGGATCGGTATCAGTTGATATGCCTCCTTAAATTCGGCTATCGGTATCAACCCCAAAAATCTCTATCGGTGCACCCCTAAATGCTGCCCAACAGAAATTGTGCTTGTGACCTAAGCTCACACACATATACATTACTCATGCATACACAGAGTGCAGACAGACATAACACTTGACCCCTTCCAAGAATGTCACCTTTTGGGAACCAGTTCACAACTGGCCTGATTTAAAGGTGTCCATAGCACACTGTCAAGGTTTCTAACTAGAAGTTAAGCTTTGAGGCATTGCAGTGCTGTCAGACTGCCATCAGGGAGTGGTAGTAAATACTAGGGCTGTGCAAAGCTTTGGGTGTTGATTCGATTTGGAGGAGATTGGGCCCAATTCAAATCAGGGAACCAATTAAAAGGTCCAAATCAATCTGAACCTCTCCGAATCTTTCAAAAAGATTCAGACAGCTTCAAAGATTTGGGCAGTCCCCAGTGGCTGCAGCATGGAGCTGCAGCCGGACTCAGAGCTGCTAAGTAGGGGGCAGGGGGGCTGGAGGAG